CTTATCTACGCCGCTTACTTATTAACTACGTTACTATCTTTTATATAATTTTATTAGTTTATAAAAAATACTATTAATTTTAAAAATTTAAATTTTAAATAATATTTTATAAAATCTAATAATATTTTCTAAAATCTAACTCTTAGCTTTTTAATTAGTAAGATAGTTAAAATACCTAATATTACTTAGGCTATAATTTTAATATTTTTAGTAGCTTTTATATTAAAGAACACTAGTTATGACTACGTGGGTATGGTAGCCGCCTAGCCCTGCAGCACCCAAGCGGAGCGACGGGTGCGGGCACGTGTATTACTCTTAGTGCCTAGCCTGTAGCTTTGGGAACAACGCAGTGCCACAAGTAAGGACGTTACACCATGATATTTATGCTACTTAATGCGTGCTCAATATGGCACCTTAACATTTGGCTCTCTAAACAATTTCCTGTTGTCTTTCGAAACCGCTGCTAGCTCCAACAGAACAGAATGGACTACATGGTCGAAGGACGAGTGCATGGAATGTCATTTGGTACCAACCAGTGGCCAATCTGCCGCAAAATTGGGCGCAAGTCTCATCAACAGCTGTTCTTGCAAGCGGCCCAGATGCTAGTTAGTGCTGCTCGTTTCTTGACCCATTGGTATGATTTTTATACGCCCCTCGACTAGTTTCGGCAGATTTCAAAGCAGGAGCTGGCGGTGGATTTAGTAGATAGTCTGACGAAATCAACCTAGAACGAGCTGCAGAGTTGATAGTCAAGCCAAAGCCCGGTCTATCCAGATCTTCACTGGTCAGGTAACCTTTGGTGGGGATAGGCTCATCGATAAATAAGTCACCAAAAACAGGCAGAACGCTTCGGCCATCGGGCGAGTTGGCCAGATATTCTTGGAAGGGCGTGTTGGGTTGAGAAATGACAAAATGATAGCTGTATGGCCCACTCGCATGGGGGACGACGGGAATGTCGTATGCGGCAGCCATGGCAGCAACCTTAAGTAATTCAGTCAAGCCGCCTAGCCACATGACATCGGGCTGGATGATGTCGAGGTTACGGCCCTCGATGAGCTTGCGAAAGCCATATCTCGAAAATTCATGCTCACCAGTTGTGAACTTGACTGTGGGATGCGCTCGTTTGATCTGCTCGAAGCCATCCGTATCGTCTGGAGAGAGACACTCTTCCCACCAGTTGATGTCGAGGCCCTCGCAAGCCCTGACCAGATCAACTGTGTATGAGACATTGAGACTCATGTAGCAGTCAACCATGATGGGAAAATCGGGGCCGACGGCTTTTCTGTGCTGTCGCAGAAATTCGACATTCTTCCGCAAGCCAACGTGCCCTTCCTCTGGACAAAACGGCAATGGAACTTTGGCACCCCAAAATCCCATTTCTTGAGCTGCAGTTGGCTCTGGACCTGTGCAATAAAACTCTATGCGTTCCCTCATGGCGCCGCCAATCAGTCTGTAGACGGGCTCGTTTCGTAGTTTTCCGAGAAGATCCCACAGGGCCAGATCAATGACGGAGATGATGGCAGTCGGGAGGCCCTTTCGACCGTAGAACATCGAGGCACGATACATTTGCTCGAATAGTAAGCTTGTATTTCGAGGATCGGCGCCAACGAGGAAACGTTCAAAGTGCTGGTGAACGAGCCAGCAAGCAGGCGGGCCTATGTTCCAGTGTCTTTATTTAGCAAGGCTATGAGACAGGCAGCCACAGCTGGGAACGTTGCGTACCTCCGAATCCTGTAGCAAAGCCGACTGTACCATCGATAGCCTCAATCTCGACTAAAATGGAGCCTAGGGTATTGATCCCCCAGCTGGTTCGAGACTTGCGATACTGCGGCCATATCGAACACGGTGTGGAAATATCGGAGTCAATCAGCCTGTCAGCGCGGCGTGTCAGTCATGGCGGTAACACTTTGCACCGGCCGTTTACATACCAATGACCACCTTTGACATTATGATAGTCACCACCTATGGCACTGATTAGATTTATTTCGCCAGTGCATGCCACGCCAAAACTTGCCGGCACCGGTGCCGCTAACAATGAACGACCTGACGGCCTTGATGGTCGGAAACTGTCGGACAGTAATAGCCATGGTGTCTGGTGAGCGGTAAGATTGCATCGTAATATTACCAGAAGCAATGAATACAAAAAGGCAACGTATCGGGAATAGTAGCGACTCATGCGCGCGTATAGCATGGTTAAAGTACTCCCAGTGGGAGTATATCAAAGGCTAGCGGCGGTGCCTTGCGAGGTAGATGGTAGCGGGCGCTGCGTCGGCAGTAGATGTCCCGACGAACTACGTTGGCGGTAGTGGCGGTAGTGCAACGTAACTGCCCCCCCCCCCCACCACCACTATTTTTCCACTTCGGGAACTTGTTTTCAAATAGAGAATTGGACGATTGGTGCAGCAGAAGTGAAGCCGGAAAAATATGCCTGGCTGTGGATGCATGGCTTCGGCGCAGGCCTGGGGCGCAAGGGATAGACGGCGGCATAAAAGGGGCCGTCAACAAGTATCCTGATGGTCGCTGTGACTGATTCGAAATGCCTGGTAGGTATGTGTGGCGACGTGCAGTATGCAAATGACTAGACACGAGATACAGTCGACGATACGACTGGCTATTTATTAATTAACGCACGAACAAAAGGAAAAAAAAAGTATATGCGTGCTCATACTGAGCGCGACATGAGAGTGCATGTGGTACCAATATACACAGCACATATTATTACCGAGAAGCAAGTACTAGAATAGTAATGTCGAGGATCCAGCCAGATAAATTTCAGACAGAATCCACAACATCGGCCCAGTATCGCCTTGGCATTTTTTCTGAACGTGGTGGCAGCTTTTCCACGAGTATGCAAACTTGGTCAATGCTGAGTTGATGAGTCGGGGGCAAGAAATCCCCGCGTCATTGCGCTGCCAGCCAGTCAATTTTTCTTCTCCGCAGGCAAGCTATCGCAACTGCCAGTCACGACGACGAAACCTTTCTCACTCGACGGCCGATTTTGTGGCGTGTACTCGGTACTCATCCTTCCGTTCATCAGCGTATCCGAGGCAATTTGCATCGGCGCTAGAGGTCAAGGCCAAGGTTTGCGCTGTTTATAGGGTCCTTTGCCGAGACATGTGGAATCAGTCGCCAGTGACGAACCTCGCCTGCCGCTCTTCATTCCCCCGAACTCTTCTTGGCCATCCCCATACTGGTGGCATCCACTCAGCTTGTTGTATCTGTGTTGGCAAAGTACCATTGGAGGGACTTGTATCCGAGGCTCCGAGAAGCCGTTGCAGTCTCAGATTGCCCGCTGAATAAACCCGGGCCGCCATGCACCACAGCGCGGAATTTGCGGAACTATCGCCTTCAGCCGCTAAGCATATGAGTCTAGACCAAGACAGCGACTTCCAGAGCGACGCCGACGAAGACGCCGGCCGTGGTCCAAAGAGGAAGCGGCCGCTTTCCGTTTCGTAAGTAAATTGTCTTGCCACCTCCACCAACCTCAGCCGTGTCGCGCCAAAGGCAGCATATGCCAGCTTCCTATGCTCGCCGAGTCCTCCCCGCGCAGCACACACCCATGGCTCAAAGGCATACCCCATCAGCCCGGATCCTAACCTCATCATACCTAGGTGCGAGCTCTGTAAACAGAGAAAAGTATGTTCTTCAGCCCAACAACCAATCATCAGCTGCCAATACAACTCTAGGTAAAATGTGATCGCGGCCAGCCTTCATGTGGCTGGTGTAGCCGCAATGGAGCGACTTGTGAGTACAAGGAGCGTAAAAAGCCGGGCCTCAGAGCAGGATACGGAAAAGAATTGGAACAGCGACTAGACAACCTCGAAGCAACCTTGATTTCTCATTCCAGAATCCTACAGAATCTCGGCCACTCGTTGCCTAACGCAGGAGCCGGAGGAGCTCACAATAGCTTCAAAAGCCTACCTAGTGAGCAAGGTAGTCCAGGCGAATCTACGCAACATTTCCGGCCACAGGACCAGATACGGGCATCACAAAGAGAAGGGAACTTCGTCATGACGAAGCAATCTTCATTCACCCCCAGCTCCCAAAACGCCGAATTTCCAGTCAATTCGGCCCCTATGATGCACGACAGGTTTCAGCAACGGCCAGTGTCTACCATCTCGACTGCATCGCACCCGGATTCTGCCGCTCCCGAATACTACCAGCACTCTCGAGCAAACCCGCCTCATCATGCAGAGTCCCAAGGGGCAGACCAAGACCTGCCTCCGTACGATCTCGTATACTCGCTGGTAGACTTGTACTTTAAGAACGTTAACACTTGGTGTCCTATTCTGCACAAGAAAACTACACTGGATACCCTCTTCGGTCCATCTGCCCTACAAGAGGCCGACCTTGTACTGCTTCACGCAATCGTCGCAACCACAATGCGATATTCTACCGACGTACGACTTACACTGGAGCGACGAAAGAGCTATCACAAAACTTCCAAAGACAAAGTCCTCCTCTATGGAATGGAGAACTCGTCCGTTAAATCGCTTCAAGCACTTGTTGTTCTGGCATTGGACTTGTGTGGAAGCAGTAATGGTCCCCCCGGTTGGAACATTATGGCACTCATCACACGCTCTGTAGTTCAGCTCGGACTCGCTGTCGAGGCTACATCCACCATGGTCTCACCAAGCTTCACCTCTATATACACATTGAGAGCCATGGTCCTGCCTGAGCCCAAGGATTTCATCGAGGAAGAGTCTCGACGGCGCCTTTTCTGGATGATCTACCTTTTGGATCGATACGCCACAATTGCGACCGCATTCGAGTTTGCTCTAGATGACAGGGAAATTGACAGAAGCCTTCCTTGCCGTGACGATCTTTGGATGGCAAATCGAAAAGTTGAAACCAAATGGTTTACGATGAGCAATTCCCCTGAAGCTGCACCTCACCCTGATTCGGGTGCCACAGAGCACCTGGGCGCGTTCTCATATTACATCGAGGTTCTCGGAATTCTCTCCAAAATCCACCAATTTCTAAAACAGCCCGTGAATATCGGAGTGGTCGAAGACGTTGAAAGATGGCAACTTCGATATAAGGACCTGGACAGCATGCTGACATCTTGGAAGTATGGTCTTCCAGGTGAATATAGCAACATGGCCAGAATATTTCAACTAGGCAGTCGCAACTTGAGCTGTACATGGTTGATGCTTCACGCGACCTATCATACGGCGGTGATCAGGCTCCATTCATCAGCCGCATACCCGACAACGAGATCACCCATCTTCACACCGTCGTATAGTGCATCACAACGATGCCTCAGCGCAGTGGAAAATATTGCTGCTCTAGCCGAGTTCGCGTACACGAATGAATACATGCTAAAGTTGGGTCCACCATTCGCATTTACGGTCTGGGTATCTGCGCGCTTACTTCTAGTGCATGGATCGACAGTTGAGCATAAACTCTCGCCGCAGATTGCGTTCTTTGTCGATATCCTGAGAGCCCTGGGTGCTTTCTGGCCAGTCGCTCAACGGTACTGCAACCTGCTGCAGAGAGTTTTGGATGAGCATCGAGACAGCGAGCAAAACGGCGACGGAATCACCCCAAGCTCCGTGAAAATTCTGGCAGACATGAGACGTACCGCATTCGACCTGGATTTCCTCATCTCTCGTCAACCACGGCACGGAACACACACGATGAGTCGTGTACCTAGCGTCACGTCAGCCAGAACACCAGCACCCATCGAGCTAGAGTACCTCGACGTGTTTGACTTTTTCAACGTTCCACGTCTCCCTCTTTTAGGCGACAGCCTGGCCATCTCAAACGAGGCTGTGACGCAGCCAGAAATGCATCCTGCCAGCAACGTGAACTCGCAATCCGGTATAACTGCGGACTTCAACATTACCAACTTCATGATGGATGCGAATAGTGACTGGTTCAAGCAGGAAGGCGGGAAGTTTCTGGGACAAGGATGAGCTTGTTGCAAGTGATGAAGGGCTCTCGAAAACTCGAAATGAGTTGAAAGTAATGCTTGAATTATGTACCACCATGATATTACAGCGAGTACCTCAGCTACTACATGAACAGAATAAAGAGTTGTATATACACTTCCTAATATGGTGTCATTTTAAGGGACCAGCGCAGTCTCGTATATATCGCCATTACAAAACTGCACCCATCCATCGAGGTTCATTCTCTTAAAGACGGTGCTGAACTCGTCTGAGCCCTTACCAGAACCTTTGCGAGCGCAGATTTCCTCACGGAGGTCATCGGGATACGTCTGAGCATCATCTTCAGGAGGGTACTCGATGTGAAACACAGGTTTGCCCGCTTCGATAAACTTGTGAAAAGATTCGCACTCAGGGTTCTCTTGGTCGGCAGCACACTGCTCATTGACGGAGAAGTCGACCAGATGCATCACATCATCAATAATGTCGGCTGCGTTCTTGAGTCCCAGAGCCATGTTGTACTTGCTGGCCTCGTCGTGGAGAAAGCCCAAGTAGTCAATCGAGTCCTGGGGCGTGAGGCCCAAGTTGTTTTCATCGTTTTGCTAGTATTCCTCGGGTCAGAGCTGAGCAGAAGAACTCGGGTGCAAGAGCAACCTTACAAAGCCGTCGACGTTGTCGGGATCAATAGCATCGCAGCCCTTGCGGGCTGCCAGCGCGATGCGACTTTTCATGATATTACGGACCTTGGAGCTGCTGATGCGGGCCCAGCGCTCGTCTGTCCATTCCGGCAAAGTGCCACCGAGATCCTCCTCAGGGAACTGGTCAGCGTCCGTACGGCCCCTTTCCCATGTACCGGCGCTGAAATAGCAAACGACCTTTTTGCCACGGTCGTGCAGTTTGTCAATGGTCTCCTTGTCGTTGTCAAAGACGTCAAAGTCCCAGATGGAAACATCAGGGGTGAAATCGATATCGCTGCGAATGGTGTTTTGTAGGACGATTTGCCAAGTCTCGCCAACCTTAGGTGCCCATTTCAAAGAGCGGCCAGACACATTGCGCAACTCGATACCCGTCTTGTTGCTGGTGCTGCTCTCATCATCACTGCCGCCCCTAGGTCTCGTCAAACCGACGCCAAAACCAACAGACAGTCCGATGATGCTAGCCAAGGTAACCCCAGTGATAATCACCTTCTTCCATGTTGCCATGAACTGCTTGACAGGGGCCTGAGACTGCTTCTCCATGGCAACGTCGTTTTCTTCAACATGGCTATCTCGACCGGCCATGATGGTTGATATCTGGAGCTGTAGTGACCAAATTCTTTTACGAGGAACTTCGTAACTAAGGATTTGAAGTCGGGAGGGAGGGTCTCGAGGTATTTATTCTCCACGAGAACGGAGCCAGCGTGCCGCCATGATAGGTTGCAAAGAAGCGGGCTGAAAGGGGAGTACTACTACGCTCGTCTGACAGCCCCAGCCTGATGAGGATCGTGGAAGTGGGATTGAAGGGAAAATGCTAGCTTCGGCAAGGGGGGAGCAGATTCCTCCGACCGAATCGGCGTATGAGAGTTCGCTACACAAGATTCAAGCCGACAAGGCTGTTTAATAACGAAGCAGAATTCGGAGCGGGGAGCTAGCTAAGCGAAGGTCAAGGACATGAGCACGGTCCAAAGAAAAGAGAAGTACACTGAATCGTTAAAAAACAACTTCATTGGTAAATAAATAGAGTCTACTCCGTACGCAGTAAAAGAGAGCTGCTGTTAGTGCGGGTTTCCACTATGTAGCAATAGTTAAGGTATGTACATAGCTGTCTAGATGTCAGCAGCGGTGCTTTTATTTGAGGCTGTACCTACCAAAGCTGTATCTACCTAGGGTGGCGCAGCGCTGGTCTGGACTCAAAAATCGTCGTGTCAAAGCCGTCAGAACCGGCACCAGTAAGAATATAGTAACCGCCGAGGCTCCTCTCATGACAAGTATGCATGGTGAAAAGTTTAATTAATTCTAAATATATCAATGCATGACCTATTCAAGGAGGGAGAAGTGACCCGCCTTCAGCCTGGTCCAGAGTGGAATGCTGGATCGTGCAATGTCTCCATCAGCCCACGATGAGCAGGGAGCCAGGACAAGGCGAGCCTGGGTAGGGATACGTAGATCTTGACTGGCAGCCTGGCTTCATAGATTGATATAAGAGTGAGGCTTGAAGCTTGCATATCCCTGCCTATCGGTAATGAATAAGACTTTTTTCAATCAACTACTGGAAATAAAAAGACACAATTGTGGTAAAGCCGTAGAGTCTTTCCAGTTGTGCCTTGCCTTTGCCCCATCCAGTGTCTCTTGGCAGCTGTTGATGCACACATCAGGCTTTTATAGTTAGGCAATTGACAGAGTAAGGGCAGGTTTAGCTTGCTTTTTAATGATTTTTACCTTCCAGCCTCGGGGTAGCTCAAGATGGTAGTGGTGCATCATTGTAGAAATTCTTTACCCTGCGAGGCTTTCCAATTTCTCTGGCCTTGCTGTGCTTGATGTGTTCTAGGTACAGTGGGTTTAAGGTAATTCAGAGCCAATTCCCCATATGATGCTGCTCGGAATTCCCTGGAGGCACTATAATTTTGGTTACCGTCATCTGCCTCTATTCAGGCGCTTGGTAAACTGGTGTGACTGGCAAACCGGCTAGTTGGCTGCAGTGGAAATTGGCCAGCCCCAAAGCGGAAAGACTGCACGCTTCTGCCTTGCTGTTTGCGGCCGGGGTCCAGGTTGTCTCAACATTTTCAATACTTCCTTTGTTTATCAATGCTGTTGGCTGGGGTTATCTCCGGTCTTCGGCTGGGCACCTCGTTGCGCTGACTACCTTGTCGTGCTTGTCATTTGCAAATATGCAGCCTGTCTGCACCATAAACATGTATGCTGCAGCACGTAGAAATGCACTGTGATGCCATAACTACTTGACGTATAGAACGCATACTGACTGATGTGCTGCAGACAACCCTTTTGATTGCTTGCCTCAGGGCTTGGTGGAGTTGCTGGCACCATTCTCCACCCGACCGCTACCTTGTGCGTCATCGTGAGTCTGTCCGGCAACTTCTTGCAGCTCAGCTTCGTCGACCTTCCAGCGCAGTCCATTTTGCCTGTCATGCTGTTATGGCCATGATTGGTGGCGCTGATAACATGTTGGGATGCTGGAAAGACGAGGCGCGGTTGGGAAGAGAAAGTCGTGGCCAAAAGGCTTGATTCATTCATCAGTTCCACAAAGCCGTCCGAGCTATTTAATTAGTTAGGAACCCCTGGGCTGCATAAGGCCCAATAGGTACCGAGTACCTCTACGTAGCGCTCCATCTCCGTACCCACTCCAGCCAAAAAGCGGCGGTAAAAAAAGTCGTGCAATCGTGTCAATGCCGCTGCATTCGGGTCCGCAAGCCCGGTTTTAGCAATGCGTGTTTCACTGCGCGACGAAGCAACGTGACGTATGTACCAAGTCACTAATACAGCATAATTATTGATTCATCATGCTACCTGCTACGGCGTAGCAGACATTCATTGCACAGCGGTCGCTCCAGTTCAGCTACCTGAGAACCCAGGTGATGCAGCAACTAACACCAGCTGGCAACACACAAAATTTATATCGGGAGCTCCAGCGCATCCGAAGACCATCAGCCACGTAATTTCTCTCCGGCTCGTACGCCGAACTGCCCTCCCTGCCTTGACCAGAAGCTGCCACTGCCTGGGGCCCCAAAAGCTCTCCCACTTCTTTCGCTGGCCCCAAAGCCAGAGTAGCACTTTGTGTTATTAGGTACTCCGTACCTACCTGCTAAATACCTAAATAATACATTGATACACTTGGTACCTAAGTACCTATCGAGCACCACCACTCGCTCATCAAGGCGCAAAGCCCTCTTCTCAAACCCTCTTTTCACGTCTGTGATTTCCTCCCCCTTCCATATCCCTCCACAAAGCCAGCCTTTATTTTAGAGCCAGAAGAGCCCGCATTAGTTTTTTGTAATATCCACCATGGGCAGCTATACTTTCAAGTGGTAAGTTCCTTTTGCGCTGCCCTCATTGCCCCCCTCTGCCACACTTTGAACTTGGACCCGTGTCCAATCTGGCAGCCCGCGACATCAATTCCTCCCAGCCAACCGTGCCTCTGGCATTCCGTTTGCACCACCCCACGCTCGAGACAACCTTCATTACGCTCTTTCGCCTTTCAGTATCACTCTACAGATCTTTAACCAGTCTATTTGTCGTTTTCGATCTCTGATTTTGTGCCCTTACTTTTTACCAGGGAACACCCCGCGGAAGAAGTCTACGTTACCGGTACCTTCGATAACTGGACCAAGAGTGTCAAGCTCGACAAGCGAGGCGACATCTTTGAAAAGACCGTCAGTCTGGAAATTCCATCCGACAAAGTATACTACAAGGTTAGTGAACCTTTCCGACACCCTTCGCAACTCAATGCTACGTTGCGCGCATCCTACCGTTAGCGATACGTTCTTTTCTCCTGCGCGGCTGGAAGCTAGAGGCACCCCGCGCGCCTTGCCGTCTTTCTGCTGCGGCTTGCGCCATTCACATGATAATGTCGCCAAACAAGCTGTTGATCAATCAGACTCGCACTTGTTCGCGATACTTCTTCTATCGAGGGAGGTCTCTGGCGCGTAGCTCGTTGTCAAACAATTCGTGTGCGCACAGAGCCGGACCTGCCACCCGGTGCTACCAATCCGGTCACGTTGCAGAAGCTTCGAGCGTCGCCAATTGCGTATCAAAACATTGCGCATCGAATTGCTCTTTACTGACGCTTCTGCCTTGCATAGTTTGTCGTCGACAACAATTGGACTACCAACGAGTCATCTCCCAAGGAGGCCGACAAAGAGGGTAACATCAACAACTTCCTCACTTCAGAAATTATTGCTGCATCCGCCATCTCTACCACTGTACTCAACACCATCGGTCCCGGATCCACTACTGCTACAATGGCTGGTCAACAACCCCTGGAGAAGAATAAGCTTGCAAGTATCAACCCTCTGCCTGCCTCAGAGACCGGAGTAAACCCCATCAACTTGAAACCCGGCGAAAAGGTCCCTCAGCAGTTTGCTACCGGCGATATTCATAAGCACGTCAAACTAGATAAAGAATCATACGAGAAAAGTGATTCTCTTATTGGCGTTCCCAACCCTGCTGATGTCCCCGCGGCGGGCCCTAACACCATTCCGGAATCAGGCCTACCGATGCCTCAGAACGCAACAATCAACACCGTTGGCCCTGGGGCTACCACTGCTGCTCTAGCTGGCCAGGTTCCCCTGGAGTCCAAGGCTGCTGAGCCCACCTCCGGCACCGACGACAAGAAGAAGAAGAAGAACAAAAAGAAGAACGAGAAGAAGAAGCAGAAGAAGGCTGCCGCCGCCGCCGCTAACGGCAATGGCGGTGCTAACATCGATGACAATGACAACGACGACGACCACAGCGACGAGACTGAACAACAAAAGGTTGACCACAGCGCTGCTACCACCGCCGCTACCATCGGTGGGAGTGTTGCTGCTGCCGCCGCCGCTGTCGCTGCCGGTGCTACCGCCGCTGCCAGCAAGGTCAACGAGCAGGCTGCTCCTACTCTAGACGCTGCCAAGACTGCCGCGACGGAGGCCATCAACAGGAACCTGCCTGATGCCGCCAAAGACAAGCTCCCGGAGCAGGCCAAGCAGCTGCTTGGTCAGCATGAGACTACAAACGACGTGCCCACCGAGGTCAAGAAATCAATCCAGGAAGCTGGCCAGAGCCCCGAGGCCGCTGCCAACGCGACCGCGGTCGAAGATAAGAAGGCTGCCGAGTCTGAACTCCTCAAGGAGGTCGAGCCTGTTCCCGCGACTGACGGTTCCAAGCCCAAAGAACTGTCAAGTCAGCAAGAGCCTGCAAAAGATGTTCCCGCCGAGGTCAAGGAGTCCATCCAAGAAGCTGGCAGGAGCCCTGAGGCTGCCGCCAACGCGACTGCTGTTGGGGAAAAGAAGGTTGTTGAGTCTGAGCTCCTCAAGGAGGTCAAGCCTGCTCCCGCGACCGAGGCGCTCAAGGCTGACAAACCGCCCGCCGTGGTCACTTCTGTTGACAAGGCCACCGATAAGCCTGCCGAGAAGCCCACTGAGGAGATAATCAAAGCCCCTGCTCTCGCTACTGTCGCCCCTATCGTGGCCCCCATCACTGCTCACCAAGCCGAACCTGTCGAGAAAGACGCTGCCAAAGTTGTTGGAGGAGTGTCTAGCTCTACGCCAGCCGAGCCAAAGCTAAATGAGACTAAGGTCACAGTTTCTAAGCCCGTGACCCTTACTTCCGCTTCTCAGCAGCAGCCTGCCGATACCACCGTCGCCCAAGCCACTGAAAGCCAGACTACAGATGTCTCTGCTCCGAAGGTTGCAGAGGTTCCCAAGCCTGCCGAGACGACCCCTGCAGTATCCAAACCTGCCCAGACCAATACTGCTGAGACGACAACTGCCGCCTCCAAGCCCGACGAGACCAAGCCCGACGAGACGAAGTTTGCTGGGAAGCCTGCCGCGGCTACTGGACCAGCCACCAACGGCTCTGGCTCTAAGCCTACCCCGGTCGCTGCAACCGGCAAAGGGACCGCCGCGAGCAAGGCTAACGCTACAGTCGACAAGAAGAAGGGCCGTCTCAGCACCTTCATCAGCAAGATCAAGGGCAAATTGTCGGATAAGAACTAGATAAACTCGGAAGATGCACGAGATTGTGTTGTTTTTGTTTTGAGATTGTTGATTTCTTTATCATTCCTACATCAAGTGATTCCCCATAGCTGCGGCAGTATCAAATCTGTATCATAAATCTAGGTAATACATGATATGTTGGCAATGCTTAACTACAGATTTCACGCAGTGAATGAGAGCTTCATTCGTCCATAAGTTCTATGTGCTAACTAGCGCTCACCAGTGTGGCGTTATTGGATTTGCCACTGCCACCATGCCGCTGACCTTGCGAGGCGAGGAGAGAAATTAGAAACTACTCTATACAGATCATGCCTCTTTATTATATTTCGTGTTGAGCGAAAATAGCGCTCCAGCTCGCGATTCCGCGTATCCGTACTGATAGTAGCGCAGGAGGCAATGTAGTGCACGTGACGAACCTTTCTCTCGCGTCACGACTA